ATTTATAACACTAGATTTATAAACTTATTAAATTCTCACTTCGCACCAGTTATGCAATAAAGAAAACCACTATAAGTTATAAAACATGTATTATCTTTAGATTTGGATTCGTACAGACACTAATAAAAGTCACTTATTACATTAATTATACATTAAAACACAACTCCCTATCTTGTTACGAAGAACAACTCGTACGGTTGATTAAGTTATCTAAAACAGCTTAGCAGGACTAAGTTGTTTTATTAATTAATCCACCGGTAACGTTCAAATCCAATGTCAGAAATGCCGGCGAACCCAGGTCAAAATTTCTGTATTTGGTCAGCGAACGTTGTTCGGAGCCCTGTCTAAACTTTACAACTTTTCCAGTAATAGTTTTCGCGTTTAGTTCGAATTTCAGAGATGCCGGCGAACCCAGGTCAAAATCTCAGTATTTCACTACTAAACGGAAAACTAACTACTTTAATATTAATTATTTCTGCATTTAATTTAGTATCAGAAATGCCGGCGAACCCAGGTCAAAATTTCTGTATCTTTTAATTAAATGCGTTAAAATCAAAACTAAAACACTGACTCACTTTTTAACAGGAATGCTGTGCCTTTTATACAAAAATGTCCACCCTGATTTTCGGGGGGATTGAATCGAATTTGTTCGTCACAGCATTTCTGTTACTTTTTCTCTTTCCCCGTAGGCAAAAATTATTCAATCTCCTCGCACTAATGGGAATCTTTAAAATAATTTTTGCCTCTAGGATTCCTATAACTAGGCTATGCGCTAGAGACTCGAGCGTGTTTGTGTTTAATTTCTGTCAACAGATACACTCAGCGCTGCAAGCCTCAGCATAGCTGCAATACATTTAACTAAACTAAACTAAATCATATAATATTATTTAAATAATATGCACGCTACATCCTCCCCCTCTGGATCGTTTAAGTGCCAGCTAACGGTCCAGAATCAACAGCGGGCATCTCCTGCATGCTAGCGTTTCCTTGGACGACCTCTACGCCGTAGCGGATTGACTCGTAGTCGGCTAGCATATTCCACGGGCCGCTCGTCCTCTTCCTCCCCCTGGAGTAATGCTCCCCCTAGAGCATAAGAGCTTGCGTCGGTCCGCAGATTGTGTGCCAAAGTTTCATCAGCTTGTCTATGCCTGTCTTCAGCTCCTCCTTTTCGCCTTGGAGTCATCCTATACGGTGGTAACGCAATGGGCGTGTCCTCCGTCACAGTTATGCGATGCTGTACGTACGCACAAGCCGTTCCATTTTCGGCAAAGAGGTCATCGAACTCGTCAAGCAGCTGATTCCAGGCACCCCGTTGTGTTTCGGTCAGCGCGGTCGCTTCGTCCTCTCGCAAATCTATAGTCATGTCGATCGCTGCTAGGTGAGCATACATGGGGTATTCCAATTCACAGTTTAACGGCAGCGAATCTCTAAAGAGCTTCTCTAAAACGTCGGATCATATTTATTCCGATCGTCTATTTCTTCCGGCGTTGGTTCGACCGAAACCATATTCATTTGTGCGGTTACCTGGTCTTCCTTTAAAAACTTAAAACTTCTGCTCGTGTCATTATTAAAATACCATTGACCGTTTGCCATATCAAGTATTATTCCAGCCTTCGTAAGAAAATCGACCCCCAGCAGCGTGCGACTATTTTTTTGCTTTTGGTAATATTACGAATTCTACCGGCACGGCGCGACCTTCCACACGTACAATCGTGCATGTCATTAACACTTGTTCGCGTTTTGCAACGCCGTCTGCAAGCGTTACCTGCATAATTACAGGTTCGAAGCGATGACCAGTCTCCTTCAAAACCGCGTACAGGCTCGCGCCTGCCAAACTTCTGCGTGCTCCGGTGTCTATATAGCCTGCTCCAGTAGATCCCTGTATAGACATTCGGATTACGGGCCGTGAACAGATACCTGCGTTAGGTAATCCTATGTCTGCGTGATGATGCATCCACAAAATGTCGGTTTCATCGCTTTCCGGCCGTTTTCTTTTGTGGTTCCTACAGATTGTGCATCTTGATTTGTTTATTGCAACATCTGTTTTTGCACCCAACGCGAAAAAAGCTAACGGTGAATCCTCAATTTTTGGTTTCGAGTTGCATCTTGGACACTTACTTCGCACAAAACCCTTCTCTCCGCAGCCATAGCAAATTAGCTGATTTTCAATTAGCGGTTTTCTCTGAGGCAGGGTTTGTTGCACAAATTTTCTGCAGTCTTCTTTTTCGTGTCCGAATTTTCTGCAGTGCGAACACTTTATAGTTTCTTGCAACGATGTGGCTTCCTGTATGTTCTGCTGCACCGTTCGACACCTGTCAGTAGTTCGTTAAATGTGTTGACGCTACTTCGATCAACGCACTTTCTTAATTTTAAGGTTAAGAGACCGTATATCATGTCAATTTGCGTCCTTTCTACTGTCTTCGTTGACAATTCCGCAAACAAAGCTCGCTTATGCGCTATGAATTTGTCTACGTTCTCTTTCTCCTTCTGACGCTCGAATAATTCCGAAAAAATTAAGTAGTCCGGGCGTGTGGGTGCGAATGATTCCTGCAGGTTGGTGATAACGTCTGTCCAGGTGTGGATTCCGATTCCACACCCTTCCACCATACTGTTGCCTCACCTGTCAATAGTAAAGGCATCTCGCGGATGGCTCTTTCATCAGGGATTTGTTCATATTTCTTGTAGATAACAATTTTTTCTACGAATTCCTGAGCCTTATGCGCATCGCGAGATCCGTCGAATTTGTAATCGCACTTTGAAAAACTACCTGGCGGAACGTTTCTAGCCGTCGCACAATTTAAAACGCGTGATAGCATTTCTTCAGTAACTGAGAATTCCATTGTGTTCGGATTAATGTCTTTTTCAATAACAGTGTCTTTTTTAGCTCTGCCCGCTCGTTTGGGCGCCAGTTTATAACACTAGATTTTATAAACTTATTAAATTCTCACTTTCGCACCAGTTATGCAATAAAGAAAACCACTATAAGTTATAAAACATGTATTATCTTTAGATTTTGGATTCGTACAGACACTAATAAAAGTCACTTATTACATTAATTATACATTAAAACACAACTCCCTATCTTGTTACGAAGAACAACTCGTACGGTTGATTAAGTTATCTAAAACAGCTTAGCAGGACTAAGTTGTTTTATTAATTAATCCACCGGTAACGTTCAAATCCAATGTCAGAAATGCCGGCGAACCCAGGTCAAAATTTCTGTATTTGGTCAGCGAACGTTGTTCGGAGCCCTGTCTAAACTTTACAACTTTTCCAGTAATAGTTTTCGCGTTTAGTTCGAATTTCAGAGATGCCGGCGAACCCAGGTCAAAATCTCAGTATTTCACTACTAAACGGAAAACTAACTACTTTAATATTAATTATTTCTGCATTTAATTTAGTATCAGAAATGCCGGCGAACCCAGGTCAAAATTTCTGTATCTTTTAATTAAATGCGTTAAAATCAAAACTAAAACACTGACTCTCCTTTTTAACAGGAATGCTGTGCCTTTTATACAAAAATGTCCACCCTGATTTTCGGTGGGGATTGAATCGAATTTGTTCGTCACAGCATTTCTGTTACTTTTTCTCTTTCCCCGTAGGCAAAAATTATTCAATCTCCCTCGCACTAATGGGAATCTTTAAAATAATTTTTGCCTCTAGGATTCCTATAACTAGGCTATGCGCTAGAGACTCGAGCGTGTTTGTGTTTAATTTCTGTCAACAGATACACTCAGCGCTGCAAGCCTCAGCATAGCTGCAATACATTTAACTAAACTAAACTAAATCATATAATATTATTTAAATAATATGCACGCTACATATATATATATATATATATATATATATTAGGGTGGTCCTTAAAATGGTCATTTTCGAATTTCTTTGCTCCCAGGGGCTCAAATGGTTCCAAATAGATAAAAAACAATTCTCTGAAAGTTTTAGCTCTTAATATTAACATTTTGATAGAGCACAATTCAATCAAAGTTTTGTATGGAAATAGCATGGAAAAATTTTCAAAAATTTTAAAAATGTTTTTTAGATGTAATTTATAGCAAACAAATGAATGAATAAAACTCATTCATTTGTCGCTAAATTATACCTAACATATTTTTTTTTAATTTTCAAATTTTTTTCCATGCTCTTTCCATACAAACTTTGACTGAATTGCGCTCTATGTAAACGTTAATATTAAGAGCTAAAACTTTCAGAGAATTGTTTTTTATCTATTTGGAACCATTTGAGCCCCTGGGAGCAAGGAAATTCGAAAATGACCATTTTAAGGACCACCTTAATATATATATATATATATATATATATATATATATATATTATATATATATAACAAATGTATTCTGAGTGGATAGATAGATATTAATTTAGAAATATGAACAAACAACACTCTTTTTTGCTCTAATTTATTAAATAATAATTTCACAAACGTTTCGAGACTAGGTTTGTCTCATCATCAGTGTGTTATAAATGCTAAATCTAAAATATGGAAACCTATATTAGCATTATGTGTTACAAGGGAGTACAGTGAACGACTTGTAACGGATAACACATAATGCTAATATAGCATCACTGATGATGAGACAAACCTAGTCTCGAAACGTTTGTGAAATCATTATTTAATAAATTAGTGCAAAAAATGTGTTTGTTCATATTTATAAATTATATATATATATATATATATATTTATTTATTTATTTATAACATTTTTCTATTTTTAGGGTGGAAATAATGCTGGGCACACTGTAGTGGTTGAGGGCACTGAATTCGATTTCCATTTACTGCCCAGCGGGATAATCAACAAAGACTGTATTTCTATTATTGGTTAGTATATATAAGAAAATATAACATTCATGCATCTATTATTAAATTTATTTATTTTCCAAAATTAATGATTTTACAAGATACTAAATAATATAAAAAATACATGAGGGTCTCTACAAATTGAACTTAATTTCACTTTTCATGCAGCTTGGCTGTAGTGATTGTCATATGACCCGTCAAAATTCCAGCTACGTTCATCCGATATCATTAGATATCGGATTAAATAAATAAATAAGTAATCTAGAATTCCATTCTGTATTTGATATTGATATAGATACTGTTTTGCCGTTAACGCCACTTACACATGGAATAAAACAGTTGCGCATTCATTTTTACAAGTAAAATTGCCATATTCAATTTTCTAGAAATTTCCGAGTGATGCCTCTACCTAAATAATATATGACCTAGTTTTTTATCGCAAATTCTTGCATATTTGATTATGGAAATTTTAATTAGTGCAATATATTTGTTTAATAAACAATTTAAAATTGGCTTTGCTAAGCTTGTTTTTATTTGTTATTTATTAACCATAACATTGAACAAATTAGCAAATTCAAATTCAATAATATTTAACTGTTAATATTTATAATTGCGTATACATTTGTTGTAATCATTTATAATTTGCTTCACCTGACTTGCGTCATCTCGTTTGATATTGCATATTTATTGAATTAAATATGCATATTTACTTAACAATATTATAACAATAATTATGATAATAATCTAAAATATAATGATGCAGTTCTTGAATTTATTGAAGATATCGCATATTTCATAAAATTAAATGGTAGTTGTGTATAGTATACTGAATGCTAAATAAACATTTGATTTTCTTGTTATTTTTTATGTTTGTATTTCAAACACACAAATATCAACTGACCTTGATGTTTGCATATTTATCATTTTTGTTATTCTAATTGATTGAAAATTTAAATATCCAGTTCGTTTACTATAATATTTTTTAATAATCAACATGTAACTCTGAAAGTTCCAAGTTGATAAATTATTTAGTTCAAGATTACGATGTAGGTGAAAATTTCATCATACCAGCCAAAGAAAAACAATTTGCCATTGAAAAATTCTGCATTTCATAAGTGATCAAAACATTGGCAATTTTTCAGTTTAACACTTGTGGTCTAATTTATCTTTTCTTGATTTTGGCACGTAAGCCGAAACGCCAATCTTGTATTACTGAGACCGATCATGAGAATCGCCGTTTGTTGCTTAATTTATGTTGGTTGAAAACAATGATGCAAATGTAATCCATTCGAAACACCTACAAATATCCACTGTGGAGCTCGAAATTTATCGATTTAAGTATTTTTAAAACGATTTGAAATGCACAACACAATGGTAGATATTTGTTAAAAATAATATTTTGGCAATCGCACAATATCCTATAAAATAGTATTATCCATTGTGACGTAACAAAAATACATTTATCATCTGTTTCATTACACAGAATTTTTTGCAGTTATTACTAAATTGGTTTTTGATTAGCTATAATTACAGAATCTATGTCACTGTGCTGCCGCTTTTTAATTTATGCTGTAACACAATACTTATCCTTGAAAATGTATCAATTATTGATAAAATTTGATAGTTTTGTCATTGTTCGACATTGTCGTACTAATCTCATATTACGTCTGTGCAATTCAAACGAATGGTTATGCAAGCACATCTTATTTTATACTCGTATGCTGCTTTTGCTCCAAATAATTTATAAGTTCTTTTTTTTTTTGAAAATTGTAATATTCATAAAGAAAACGTTGTAGAAGTTACAACACCGAAAAAGACTTGTAAATATTTATATATAGATTAAACACAATTTCTTATTTAATCAAACAAAACGTTACATTATACGAAACTATTAAATTTCTTATAAGCTATGCCGTGATATTTTACGTTTACTATCTAAATGAGTTACGATCAAGTTTTACTTGTACCCCCGGCTCTCCTGACTTGAATCACGAAATTGTTTTCAGACATGTATCGTTAATAAAAAACAGATAATAGTATTAAACTCCATTTAATTCTATTTTTGTACTCCGGAAGTTTTGTTGGTTTGCACGAAATTATTCCATTTCTTATTTAGTAAACCGGTACCACGCGTCTCCGGCATTGTCTCATTATCATAATGTCGCTAATTACCATATTGATCGATGACATACAGGTGTTTTTTAACCCGTGATATTTTGTTTTTGTATTTATAGTTAAAAGGCTAAATATTTTACATATTAAGCGAAAGCAAACAATCGTTAAATTGGTCAATTATTTGTTAATTGAATTATGCATGTAAAATTCACTTTCAAACACGACCATGTAATAAGAAATATACTTTATGTGCAATTCAATTTAAAAAAAAATAACGTAAATGTAAACAATTTTCTTCAAAATTTCTTTGATTATAAATCTTTTATTTTGGAATCGAAAAAACTACCTGAACTATCAATTCACTGGGCTTTTGTATTACGGAACGTTAAGTGGATTCTGTATTTTATATATTATTTCTTGTTAAATATTTGTAGCAAAAATATGAAATTCATGTTCATTATATACAAAATTAAATAAGTTCAGCAATTTTTACTAGTTATATTGTATTTCCCTTAGGGAATGGTGTTGTCATTCACTTGCCTGGTTTATTTGAGGAATTGGAAAAAAATGAGAAGAAAGGTCTAAGTGGTTGGGAATCCCGTCTTGTAATATCAGATCGGGCACATCTTGTATTCGACATGCATCAGCAAGTCGACGGCATGCAGGAATCAGAAAAGGGTGGATTGACCATTGGCACAACCAAAAAAGGCATTGGCCCGACATACTCTTCTAAGGTTGTATTGAATTTCATTTTTGAATTGAAACATTTACTTTTACCTTTATTTCAATCATTTTTATTTTGCAGGCAACCCGTAATGGATTGAGAGTGGGTGATTTATTGGGAGATTATGATTTGTTCAGCCGAAAATTTAGGCAGTTGGCTGCTTTGTACCAAAGAATGTTTCCAAGTCTTGAAATTGACGTGGAAGGGGAATTGAAAAGGTAAATATTAAGGAATTTTTCATACAAAATTCAGAATTACAAAAGGCACTAACTTTGATAATACATTTTTTTACAGGTATCGCGAATTTGCAGTCAAATTGCGACCGTTTGTTAAGGAATCTGTATCGTATTTGCACAACTTATTATTAGAAGGCAAGAAAGTTTTAGTCGAAGGAGCTAATGCTGCTATGTTAGACATTGATTTTGGTTAGTATTGAAATAACTAACACAAATGTCTTTAATCAAGCACCAAATGTTTATGGAATCAGATCAGTTTTGAACCGTTTCACTCTCCACAGGTACCTACCCATATGTAACATCGTCTAACTGTAGTATAGGAGGTGTAGTGACTGGCTTAGGTTTGCCTCCTCGGAACATTGGTGATATTGTGGGTGTAGTGAAAGCTTATACAACTAGAGTGGGTGATGGTCCATTTCCTACTGAATTGCATGATGTAAGATATTTTTTTATTCATGGTTAAAATATCATTTATGAGCTGCATTTAAATACTTGGCTCAGACTAACAAATCAGATATATGTAATTTACACAAACTTAAATATGTTATACTGCAGATAATAAAAAAATGTTTTTGTTTATTGCAGGAAATTGGAGAACTTCTCCAAACTCGGGGTGGAGAAATTGGTGTAACAACGAAAAGGAAGCGAAGATGTGGATGGCTTGACCTGGCCTTATTGCATTATACCTCAATGGTCAATGGATATACAATGTATGTATAGCATATTTTATTTTGTATTAATTATTTATTTTGCATTAAATGTTATTGGCAAACAAAATCTGGAATTTGTTTGATAGTCCACAGCCTTCATTTCACATGCATGTTTTAGCATGATTACCTAGATTAGTTTATATTATGCTCATTTTTTAATAACATTTTATTCTATTTTAGGTTGTGTGTTACGAAGCTAGATATATTAGATACGTTACCAGAAATTTTAATAGGTGTAAACTACAAGATAAACGGTGTTGTTATTGATCATTTCCCTTCCACTTGCCAAGAATTGGAATCTGTAGAGGTAAAAGCAAGCAAATCAATTTTTACTTTTGTTTTATAAGCTTTGCTTATGCAATTGTTTTAAGACTGCATCTGCAGTTCAAACATGAAGGTGCAATAGCATTTAATTAAATTTAAATATTTAATTGCAGGTGGAATATATAACTATGCCTGGTTGGCAAACTAGTACCGCAGATGTTAGAGAGTTTAAAAATCTGCCTGAGGCCGCTAAGAAGTATATCAAACGAATTGAAGAAGAATTAGATATTCCAGGTGAGTGCAAAAACTAAAGCTTTTTGATCATAATAAATTTTAACAATTTTAAAGATAGGTAAACATAGTTAAATTAGTGTTGTTCCAGTAACTTTGTGCAATTATTTTCCATGAATTAATTTAGAAGAAAATAAGTTTCTAATATATATATTGAGATTGTCATTAGCGACAATATTATGATTTTTTATGGCCAGGTTTTATTTGAAATTATATATTTGAACTCAAATATTTTATTTCATATGAAATAAATTTATTTATTTATTTCCAGTGCGATGGATTGGTGTTGGCAAAGGCAGGGAATCAATAATCAATCTCTTTTAAAATAAATTTTCACTAGTTGAAGAAGCTATGAACTGAAATGCACAAAAAGATATTTCAAGGATTATTTTTCCGTCCATACATATTGGAAAATAACCAAAAATTAATCATAGATTGGATGCTGATTATTTCTTCAACAATTGAAACTTTTTGTGCAGATACGAGTATCAATTTTAATTGTTATTGTTATACTGTATATAAATATTGTTGTAACTGTTACAGATTACTATTACATTTTAAATTGAATCTCTTATCATATTTTTTTATCAACATTTTACAATCAAGTGTGTGATGAATCACATACTAATTTAAACCAGTCATATGTATTTTTATAAAAGTTTTATAATTTTCTGTAATATATTTTGTGATTTTAATAATTAATAATATTCTGATGCAGTATTCGAACAATATTTATGGACATACCTGTTTGCAAATAAAAAACTTTACGATCTACATTTAGTGCAAGTACTTACAAGAAATAAATGCGCAACAATACAATACAATAAATTAGTTTGTAAATACTTTTTTACAAATATATTTTGTAATAGTGGTATATCTCTAAAATGCATTTTTATCAAAATCTGTTATTTTAAGGCTCATTGTTTGACTGCATTTTATTCAAAATAAAATTCACTTAATAATAAAATGCTGTGATACAACTGGGCCTCTTAGTACTTCATAATAATTTATCAGAAGCATACCTGTGAGCTACATGTGTAATTACTATTTTTTAAATTTCATATTGTACCTATATATACTATACCTCCTCAAAAAATGTTACAGTTCAATTATGTTACATATACAAATACAGAAATTACAACAAAGATTATACTTTTTTAATGAAAATTGGGCAAAATTCAGAAACAAATAGGCATTACAACATTATTTATTTTGATTAAATCTTATTATTTTTGGTGTTTTACTAAATTATTAGGATGAATATTGACAAACGAGCGAACATATTAGCTTTGCTGCTACATGTTTCTTGGTTTTATTCTAATATACCAATAATGAAATCATATATATATATATATATATATATATATATACATATATATAAATATGAGTAAATACTTATAAAAATGAGTGGTGATAGAATTATTCGTCGTGATCAGTTTTAATAGATTTTATTGTTACAATTATGGTGGTCCCTAAGCTACTCTTGATCTATTCTATATATTCTATATATACATGCATTTGTTCATGCTTATGAGAATATAATGAGGCAAATATTTGTTTATAAATACAATAGAGTTTAAAAAAATTAAATAATCATATATTTTATTTGTCGTATTTGTTCGGTCATGGTTAAAATGATTAAATTGCTTGATTTGTAAAGTACTGACACGTATTATGAATACGTAGTATTGGTAAAAGCTGATCAAAAATATTGTATTAGTACGTATGAAGAAAATTATTCAATGATCAGAATTTAATTCTTAATAGTGTCTGATTGTTGTTCAACTTATTGTAGATATGGAAGAAGTTAAACAACGAACATTTTTCGTTTCGTTTTTCTATTTACGGATATTGATTAATGAAATGTGAAAAATGTTATTGTTTATAATTATAATGGTAGAGTAATCCACGAAAAACTTAAAAAATATTATAAGTAAAACAATTACTTATTCTTGCTGATAAAACCTGACAATATATGGCTTGAACTATCACTCATACGAAAGATGCCTCCATATTTTAATTAGGGACTGGGATAATTGTATTAAACGATAATGGAATATGAAAACATAATTAAGTTCATCATGAGGAATGAAATCTTGTTCTTTTATTTTTAAATGCAATAAATACAGGCATGATATGAAATATTACATCTATTATTGATTGAACGTAATAAATATATAATGATATAAATGGATTTCAGCATAAATATTTCAATTGTCTAAGGAACAAAAGACAGAATAACATTAACATGTGTTCAGCCGTGTATTTTTCTCTTTGAAGAAGATATTAAAATAACATTACACACAGTAGGAAGACCTAGTAAACAGGTAACTTTAATGAGCAATTTTTTTCTTATTGAGATGATTCATTAATTTATTCTTGCTTTTATTAAGTTGGGGCTTTCGTGGCGGAGTGTTAAGTGCGACATCGAGCAGTACCGATATCAATTTTCACTAGAGCTTATAGATCTTTAAGCTTTGAGCTTTAAGCTAAAAAATATGCTTTCAAGTGAATATAGCCTTTCCTGGGCATTGCTGCATCAAATTGAATAGGTAAGCTCTATTAGATAAATTCTAATAATACAATCATCAAATAGGGATAGGTTGATTCTAGGCAACCATCTGAAAAGCGACGTGAGGAGAAAGTTTCAAACCAGTTTATAGGACGCACGGTTATGATTCGAAAGAATTAAAAAAAATTAATAAATAAAAATAAATAATAAATAAATAATAGCCTATTAATTAAGGTTACCTTAATTACCTACTTTTGTGCTAACATCGCTGGAACTAGCGTCACTAGAAAAGTATTTAGATTCATTTATTACTCAAAACTTATTTAATTTAAATTAAAAAAGTTGCATTTATTATAGTTGTTCAGATCTTATTATTTTTTTACAGAGTAATTTTTATTGAAAGATCAAACGAGGGGCTAGCGCGACATCGAACAGCCGCGATATCAATTTTCACTTGGGTATATAGATCTTAAATATGATTCCAAGTGAAAATAGTCTTTCCTGGGCATTGCTGCATCACATTGAATAAGACAGCCCTATTAGATAAATTCTGATAATAAAATAATCAAATATGGATGGATCAACCGCAAGGTTACCATCTAAAAAAATGCGACGTAAGAAAAAAGTTTCAGACTAGTTTATAGGACGTAAGGTTATGATTCTGAAGAATTTAAGAAAATTAATAATAGCCTATTAATTAAGTCTTAAGGTATTATATTAGTTACCTAATTTTGTGCTAACATCGCTGGAACAAGCCTGACAAATATTTATTTATTTAGTTCATTCAAATAGAAATAAGTGCAATTATCAAATTTGTTTCCATCTTATTTTGAAGTAAGTAATTTTCATTGAAGGAACAAACACAAATTAAAATCAGGCTATATCCTAGTAGGTTTGCTTTTAAGGTTAAATGATAACCGAAAGCCGGTAATGCGCAGGATACGGTATTTGTTGTGGAGTCCGCATGTTGATTCAATTTTTCTGGCAGTAGTCGAGCGCACGTCGTCGGAAGCGTTTCGTATCGTAATGGATTAGTTCCCTTTTACTTTCTCTATACAAAATAAAAAGGAAAATTATTAATAATATTATACACTATATTTAAAATTCCTTTGTGCACGTTTATAAATCAAGCGTTGGTAAAATATAAAAAATGCGGTGATTTACAGCGTTGCTTCATGCCATAAAACATTTTTTTGTTAATGAAAAACGTGGTTTAAAATCAGTAACTTGTTTTATTTGCAGAAGTTTTGGTTCTTACTTTTTTAATAAAAAACTTATGGTTGTTTATATAATACCAGATTATAACTATTAAGAACAATTAAACAAATCGAAATTATTGGATATATAAGTGTTGAATACATTTTAAAAATGGTTATTGTGAATTTACCCTAAATAAATATTTAAACAATTTTGTGAAGATGATTTGTGAGTGATTAGTGACACATTAACTTAAATACTTAACCACAGAAGTGCTGAATAATAATAGTTTAGTTCTTAATTGAATATTCGGAAGATTAATTTTGAAAAACTACAGGTTTGTGCATAATTTTATTTAATACATTTTTTAAGTGTCCCTTAATTTTTATTTCCGTGTGGGCGTTGTTCGGCTTAACTTAGGACTCTATAATCGCCTGTACCCGTGGCTGAAATAGTTCAAGCGTTACCCATACTAAATTATTCATTTACATTTAAATTTTGAAGTCTTATGTGTACATTTCATAAATAATCAGAAACTGCAAAAAAAATCTGCACGAGTCGTACATTTCAATCGTGTAAATCTACATTAAGTATGAAAATAATTATAATGATAAAAAACTTATAGAGGAAATGTTAAAAAAATTTCAATAGAAAATTTGGAAAAATGTGACAAAAGGAATAAATAATTTGAACCGCATAGAGAAAAGTTATATCAGATATTATTTGTAAGCATTTTATTAGCAAAATATGGTTTGATACACAAACTGACATATTCAGAAATATTTTAAAAAGAATTTAGTACTTATAAAATATTAGAACATGATCGTACGATATTTTTAGTTTTTTTTTTATTTCTATATAATTACAATTTGCCCTGGTAAAGCATTTATTAATTTTGGTAGATATAAAATTTCAAAATGCTACGCAATGGTAGTCATTTTAAGATTGAAAATTGATATAACAAATATACAGAACAATAATAATTACATGTCTGTTAGCCAAATCTAAAGGGTTCGAGTCCTTTGGAGATGTTTTTTTAGATGCATGTCTTCTGATTTTATCTGTAACCGTGAACATATTGGAGTCGTGGTAGATCAGCTAATTTGGGATATACTTGGGCGCCTCTAGTATTTTTTTAAAAAACGTATTTTGTAACCTTTGTGACTAGATTTTTAAAATCTAAACATATTTGCAAGCGATAAGATATAAAATTGATAAGCCCATCCTTTTAGAACTAAATATGAAAACCTGCCATTAATTTTTGAAAACCATAAGTTTTGTCAAGATAAATCGAAAAAAAGAAAAATAATGTAATAGTTTTATTTACATATTTTTAAAATTACGAATCACGTAAACATATCCATATTTTTTATATTGATTGAAAAGCGAACAGAAATTAAGGTTCTATGAGCTTTTCTGATGATTTACTTAACTAAAACCACTTCGGTTTTTATAGATGTCAACCCGAACAGTTGTTTCATCACTGTGTCGTTTTCAATTATTACAATTTCTGTAATAGTGAAGATTTTTTATTGAGTTAGCAATCATGGGTGCTATTTTCACTTAGAAACACACTGCTATCTGTATTTCCAAGTAAACACCCATATCACTTATGCTTGACATCAGGTTGCTTAAGAGGGATGTTAAACTTGCGATTTTTGGTTGAAATCCCATAGTTCTAACCACTTACCAATATCTACATGAAATTTTTTTCTCCTGATTTACTTTTATTGCCGTTTCTACATCATCAATTTGTACCAAATTGTCCACGAAGCTTGCAGAGGTTAGCTGCAATATTTTTAATAACTGGACATTTTATCGCAGTGGGATTTCAGACTGCGACTTATATTGGACAATAAATAATATTTTAATCCATAAATTTCGTCTTTCTATCAAACGGCTTTGCCACAAGAACGTATAAAACCTTCATGAAACCCGATAGTGTTCGTCCATTTATCAAACGATTGAATTCAACACCAGAGGAAATAATTCTAAATTCGAGCGAGCGCGAAATCGCGAAGACTCGAAACTCCCTTCTGCCAAGTTAATGTGTGTTAGTGCTTCATGATTTTCCGGAAAACGTCATATCATTCATGATACTCAACTGGGATTATTATAATTGAATTTTGACTGCGGGAGGATATTTTTTACAGCCGAGAAACGAATGAATTGGGAATTATTATAAATCGACCAAAGAATGATTTTTTGTCGGAGAATTATATAGAATTTTCCATTTCTTCGTTGATTTTATAAAAATAATGAGTTTTTGGTTTTCAAATGTTTTATTTTATGATTTTATGATTAAAACTTAAATAATATTCATAAAAATTTTGATCAAAATCATATCTATAAGTTGGAATGATATTTAATGACCTCTATAAAATTTGTTTTCACCTCTCAAATTTTTAACTTTTCGAAGGAGAAGTTTAT